GTTTTTTGCCTGTCCAACTATTCCACTGGAAAGGTCTGTGATCATTGTGCTTTTGGCAATAAATACTTTTTCTTTTCCCAGGAGTACTAGAATCAGTCATTCGGTGACTTCTGAAGCTCCAACTAGTCTGTTCTTAGGAATAAACACTGGTATATTTAGCACAAGCTTACAGACTTGTTGTTCGTGAACTTGCAGATTGCTCGTGACATCACGCGCAACTCTGCCTGAATGCACACCGCTGTCCTGAAGTTGCTCTCTGTCATTGAGTGCAGGCAGGTCACTGATGGTGACAGGCTCCAGGAAGGGCTGCCACTACCTGTGCCACTCCATCTTCTGACTTGTCATAGCTGTAGCACCCATTCAACATTTCTCTGCTCAACAGAAAATACAACTTGGCAAAAGAAAAGTCTGGAATACTTTCTTCATCTATATCTTTTTGGTGAGTGAGTTGTGACTTGTCTCCCATTATCTAAGTAAGAGAATCAGTCCAAAAAAAGGAATGTTTCTTTCTTTAGGAATCCCTTCATGTGCTGAACATCTTTTAAGAATTTTGTGGCTATGTATTAAATGAATAGTTGAATTATAAGGAAGAGCAAGCTCCTCTGAAATTAGAACCATGTATATTGTTGGAAGGTTTTCTTTACTTTTTCTTTCCACAGGCACAGGACATAATGCAATTAATGAAAAAAATTTAACCTCAATGTATATTAATATGTAAGGCACACACAATGCATATGTGTGTGTGTGATTGGTGATTGAGCCCATGGCCTTCCCTTTGAGCTACATTCTCAGTACTCTTTCATTTTTCATTTCAAGAAAGGGTTTCATGAAATTATTACATTGCCCCCACCATGGTTTTTTTTGTTGTTAAAAATAGTAGATTGAAAAACCAGGGCCTACAGAAGCTATAAAATATTTACATTTTTAAAGCATTGTTAATAAAATGAAAAAATATATGACAGAGACAAGATAGTCCAATAAACCTAGAATACTTATTATTATGCCCTTTACAGAAAATGTATGCTGGTTCTTGTGCTATGTAGAAAGTACCAACAACAGAGGCTTCCTCAGGATCTTAGCCCATTTGGGTCAAATGCCTTCCAAATCTAATACTTCTTCTCCTATCTTTTGGTTGTCCCTGTTTAGACCTAGTTTTGTCAGTGGTTTCAAAATAGGTCTTGCTCTGCCACCTGAAACACGCTGTGGCAAAGAGAGGCTGTATTGGACAGTGTTTTGTCTCTGTGACCAAACTACCTGACATACACATCCCAAAAGAAGAAAGGTTTATTTTGGCTCATGGTTTCAAAAGTTTCATCCCATGGTTAGCTGGCTCCAAGGCAGAAACATCATGGTGGAAAGGCACTCTAGCAGAAAGCTGCTCATCTCGTGGCATCCAGGAAGAAGAAAGAAGGGTAAGAGGATGAGACACAGAGGAAGAGGGAAGAAGGGTGGGGACTGGATATACTCTTCCAAGGCATTCTCCCAGTAAACCACCTTCTCCAATGAGGTTCCTCTCCCAATAGCTCATTCATCCATGAACTCAACAATGGGGTAATCTTTGATGGGGTTAGCACTCTCATCATCAAATTACTTTTCCAAATTTATACTGCTGAAGACATGAACTTTTGGGGGACCTCTAAGATAAAACCATAACATTCTACCCATGAGCTCCAAAGGCTTGTGTCCATCTCAGCATGCAAAATGCATTTCTTTCATCTCCAGGAGTCCCCAGAGTCTCAAAAGTTCCATCACTGCTCAAAATTTCAAGTTTTCGGGCTGGGGATTTAGCTCAGTGGTTTCGCTGCCTGCTGCACAAGCACAAGGACCCGAGTTCAATCTCCAGTACCAAAAAAAACAATACAAAAAAAATTTCAAGTTTTCTTCTGAGACTCAAGGCAAAGTGTCAGCTGTGAGCTCTGTAAAAATAAAAACCAAGTTACAGGTTTCCAAAATATAATGTCACAGGGTAAACATTCCCATTCCAAAAGGGGAGAATAAGAGATTACAGAGTTATGAGACCAAAATTAGACTAAAACTGAGCATGGAAAATATTAAATCTGTGAGCTCCACGTCTGGCATCCGGGGTAAATGATGATGAGATATGAGCTCCAATAGGCTTGGGTGACCCCTCCCCTATGACCTTGCTGGTTGCTGCCCACATGGCCTTTCTCCTGGGCTGAAGCTGCTCACTGCCTGCAGCTTTCCTTGGCAACTTCCCCAACTTTCTGGGGTCTCCATTGCAGCTTTGGGTTCATTCCTATGGGTTCATGTATTGCCCTCTTAGGGGCTCCTGGCAGGGACTATAACCCTCTCACAGACTGCCTGGTCTCCCAGGCCTTCCTGTGAAATCTGGGTGGATTCTATGACCCCAGAACTCTTGCATTCTGCACACCTGCACAACTAGCATGACATGGATGCTGCCAAGCTCTGCTGCCAGGATGAACAATAGCTGGTTCCCCTTGGGCCATGGTCCCTGACTGTCTAGACAATTGACCATTGGAAAAACTTCCTTAGGTGTCCCTAAGTGAGTAGGGTATCCTGAGGCTTTCTTCTCAAAGCAATATCTTTCAAACAACTTTTACTTACTCTTGAGCCCAAGATAGGCATGCCCTCCGTTTCACACCAAGATACAGCCTTACTCTCAGTATTGTGTGTGCATGTGTGTGTGTGTGTGGTGCTGGGGATTGAACCCAGGGCATCGTGCACTCTCTGCACTCTATTGAGCTATATCCCCACTCAGTTTCTCAGCATTTTTTGATAGGAGAAAGATGATATGCATATACATGAATACAGAGCAAAGCAGTAGGTGTAAGTGATTGAGAAAATCATGAATATTATGAAAGTACAGAGGGAACTATTCAGAAGGAAATTCTATAACAATAAAAATTACAAGCTATATAATGAGAATACTACTAATCTAAAAAATTGACCAATTAAATAGTCACTCTGGTTTTTTTTTTTTTGGTACTGGAGATTGAACTCAGGACCTTGCACTTGCAACACAGGTGCCGGAACCACTGAGCTAAATCCCTGGCTTAATCATTCTGTTTCTAACCTTACACTAAATGCACAGGTTAAGGATTAAACCTCCAGTAAATTTTTCCAATGATAATTATTTTGCCTTCAGTAACATGTGTAAACATTAAAGTTCTATAAACAAATGCAGCTTTTAAATTGTAGAGCATAAGGCAGCATCTCTCTATAAACATAAACACCCTCACTTCTTATTAGGAACTGAATTGAATCCTCATCCTGTGCCCCGTCCCCCTTGTGTGACATGGTACATTAAGACTGGTAGCATTGATTCAGTCCAGGTTGGCTGAGAGGTTTATTTACTGGAACAGGCTCTGAGAGGCTATCACTCAGTTGTGAGAGGTACCTTTTACATAAGTTTTGTCTGGGTACCTTTCTCTTTTCATCTCCTTTCCAGCTTCCTCCCTTGCAGGCACCCTTTCAGGATACACGTGATATCAAAAATAAACTGGGGAAATGTAGCCAGGACACTCTAGTCTTGAGGGAGATGACTCAGGAACAGTGACCTGCATGTAAGAAATCCAGGCTGATTGGAACGTTCACCAGCCTGCTGCAAGCCTGACTCTGTGTTATGTGCACCTCCTACTAGTTTATTCATTAATCACACATTTTTCCAGAGATATTCTGGACTTCAAGCACTGGGCTAGGTTTTAGGGAGTAAAAAGGTGAACAGAAAGGAAAACTCTTGCTGTCCACATATGGGATGGGGTGGGGTGGGAAGCATCGAATAGGAATAGATAGATATGTGGTGATAACATTGTAGTGCTGATATAGAAAGAGTGAGCTAAAATTAGTACTGACTTTCCAATAGCTGGGCCATCCTAGGTCTGGGCATGTGTGAACTTGTGTGTCTGTCTTTGTCCCCCACTTTTGTTTGGTTAAGTGAGGGCAGAGAAGATGGCTCACACTGTCCTGACTTGGCCATGGTGCTTTTTATCCACATCCTTTCTTTTAATCATGGAATTCTTTACCTCTCTGCTCCCAGCAGATGTTTTTAGTTCCGTCTTAAATACAAATAACAATACTGTAATTACCCAGAATGTTACTGGTAAAGTGAAGAGAGGAATGCTTGCTTTATGGGAGTCTGGGGCAGAAATAATTTGAGGCCACAGATACAGCAACTGGTGACCCACCTAGGTCGGTGACGCTGGATTTAATTCATTTCTTTACAGCAGCAAGAGAAAAATACCCCTCTTTCTTTGCAGAAGTCAGGATTGTGTCTCAGAAATAGAAACTTTTCCTCCTAAATATCTTCCCACCTCCATTGTTACCAAACGAGGAGTTCCCAAGACAGCTACTACACAACTGTTTTCTAAACTGTGTAGTTCTTCCCAGCCAGAACGTCTAAGTCCTGCCTGAATCCGCCGTCAGACTTGGAGAACTTTGGAGTAAAGACCTTCCAGCTCCCTCTGCTTTTCTGAGTTCCCGGCACAGGCGGGGGATTCCTGCCGGACGCCAGCACCCACCAGTTTGCGACGCCTAGAAGTGCTTCCCAGCTGTGAACCCACTCACTGCAGATAAGCTGAATGAGGAGCAGCACTATTTTTACCGCCCGGGATGCAACCCTTCATATTTAGTTGCAAGAAGGAAATAAATAAGGATGGAGAAGGAAATGCTTGGCCTTAGTTTTGTTCGAGCAGGAAAGACTTGGGAAAGGAGGGGATGCATCTGAAGTCTGGGGTGGTAGAGAAGACAGATCGATTTCCTTTACTGTTCGCTCTATAAAGGACCTGCCTCTGGTCTGCGAGCCCCGCACTCCCCTTTCTTCCCCTTGCCCAGCCCCCATAGCCGGCGGTGCCACCGTCACCTCGGATGCCACCCGGGTTGCTGCATCACTCTGCCGCTACCCACCTTGCCCCTACGGTAAGGCATGCGCAGTGCGCCCTGCGCGCGGCTAGCTCGGCAGCAGCACCCGGAGCCCCGCTCGGCGCGCTCCCGGGGCGGGGCGCACACCCGTGCCGCGCGCCCCCGTGCGCCGCCTCAGCATCTTTAGGCCCGGAGCAGCCCCCATAGTCTCTGGAGTGGCCGCGCCTGCCTTGGGGACTCTCCAAGTTGTTGGGGCGGCGAGGACCCGGGGGCTGCTCCGCAGTGGGCCGGGGAGGGGCTGAGCGCAGAGTCGGGGCGCGCGCCGCCCACCGCGCCCCCTGCCCTCGGCGACACCATGCGCGCCCCGCCGGCGTGACCGGCTCCGCCCGCAGCCACCCCGAAGCCCAGCCCGCGCTCTCGCCGGCCACACCGAGCGGCGCCCGGGAGCTATGAGCCATGAAGCCTCCCGGCAGCAGCTCCCAGCGGCCGCTCCTGGCGGGCTGCAGCCCCACCGGCCCCTGCGGCGACCCCGCCGGCCCGGAGCCCGCCCGCGCCCCTGCCCGCGCGCCGCCCTGCCGCCTGCTCCTCGTCCTTCTCCTGCTGCCTCCGCTCGCCGCCTCGCCCCGGCCCCGCGCTTGGGGGGCTGCTGCGCCCAGCGGTGGGTATGGCCCGGTGTCCTTTGCGTCGCCTTCCCTGAGGGCCCTGTGGTGGCAAGCGAAGGGCACAGGGTCCGTGCGCTCCGGACGCGTCCCCGGCTTGGCCTTCCGTGCCTCCTTGCACGCCTCTCCACCCTTCCCACCTCCAAGCCCAAGTCCATTCTAGTTCACTTTTGGAAGTCCATTTTTGTGGCATTCACTAAAAACCTATCCCAACCACTGTCGGTCCCACTGGGAAGGATTGAGCGGGTCCTTCTGCGATCTTTGTGCAACTTGAGGGGGGAGCCAGTGACTGGGAAGTGCAGAGAAGCACCAAGTTGCTTCTGGCGTGGTGGAGCCCTAATAGGAATGCGGGGAGGATGGAATGATAATGATGGCTATGGGTGGTTTCCACCGAGTTCATTCACTGCGGTTGGGATTAAGGTGAGCGAGACATACTCTAGGGACCACAGAATGAAAGTGCAGAAGACACACCCTGTTCACGACCTTTGGTTGTGATTTTCAAAATGCTGGTCATTATAATGAACATTTAAAACAATATAATAGTGGTCAACACATTGGCAATTGGAAACCAGTGAGGGCAGAAAGCTGACCTTGGTAGGAAAGATAAAAAGAAACTGGAAAGCTGCCAGCATCTGTATCCCTCTATGGCAAAGGGATTTTGCTCATTTCAAAGTTAAAAGAAAAGTGAATTGTCCATTTTGTGAAATGAATTAGTTAACCTTCTGTGTGCAGACATTCAGCACTCAGTTGTCTTAGGAGTGTTCTCAGCTCTCAAATGGGATACTACTAAGCAGAGTACAGTTGGGCTTTTGTAGACCTAGAAGGGCTAGAATTGAGGGTCAGGACCCCTGAGCATGCTCATTTAATGACTCTTCCCTACATCCATTAGTCCCCTCCCCCTAATATTTAGACTTGAGAAAATGTATACATGATTGTGATGTGTGGTTGTGTAAGCCTTATTGCCTATTAACCTATCCCAGGCCATTTCATGTTGCCATAACTTGCTTTTCTGCTTCTGCACTTTTTACCTGCTTATAAATGGAAAACTTTCTTCATGCAATTAATGGAAAAGATGTACTCTAGTACTTTTGTATTTATGGGGTGTATATGTGTGTGTTTGTTTGTGCTTCCCGCCCCCCAGCTCCGCATTGGAATGAAACTGCAGAAAAAAAATGGGGAGTCCTGGCAGATAAAAACAGTACATTGCAACAGAATAGCAGCAGGAATACCAGTTACAGCAGTGCAATGCAGAAAGAAATTACAACGCCTTCAAGACTCATATATTACATCAACCAGGACTCGGAAAGCCCTTATCATGTTCTTGACACAAAGGCAAGACACCAGCAAAAGCATAATAAGGTAGGCAGGAGGCTACCAGGAAGAGTTTTCCTTTGATTTGATTTTCTGCCAGAATCTGATTTCACAGAATTTACTGCAGCATTTTATTAAGAAATTAATATTATGACAGGGGAGAAACTGGAGAGAATTAACTTGGGATCTACTGGGATAGGGATGCTGTTGGTTTCCCTTCTCTGACTCAACTGGAACTTGAATTTTTGGATGTCCTTACAAACTTGACAGCTGAGACATGACCCATGTGTCTTTCAAGTGTATTGGGGTCTGAACAACAGAGTGAATGTGTTCATGGTCCTGACTTGTTTCTGTGAGCCTTCATGTAATTGTGCAGGGTAAACGTCCTCTCCCCCCCATCATAGAAAACCTGCTTTCCGTCTGTACACAGAAGCTTGCTGGAAGAGGCTATTGGCTGCAGTATCCCCAACAGCCTTTCCATTTAGAACTTGAGTGTTTAAATCTAGTTTTTCTCTCTTGAATTGATCAGTAGGAAAAAAAATTAATTGCCGTTATATTTTCAGGAGGTAAAGAATTTGACATTCTAAAAGATTATGAAGAATAGAAAAAAGTTCCTTGAGTACTATGAAGACCAGTTTTGGTTGGCCTAGTCCTTTGAGACTTAATGTGCATTGCTTATGAGCAGTTGTTTCACCTTCGGGTGGATTCAGAATGTGGCACTGATTTTTGAAAAGGTATTCAATGGAAGACAAAGATGTTTAATAGCCAAAAAGTTTAGGGACCCTTTTTCTTGCTTCCTATTATTTCTTTGAATTAATAATATTTTGGACCCCAAGTAGTTTTACAGAATAAATGTTTGGTATCTCTGTTTTTATTAGGAGCAGGACATATAGCCTGTCTGTTAAATATTCATTTTGAACTATATCTGTTCAGTTAAGGAGAGCAGTAACTGTCTAACCATCTAGATTTTAAGAGAAGCATCTGTGGTTTATATCATCATTTTTATTAGTTTTCTGAAATATAATTTAGTGGTAAGAGTATTTATCCACATTTTGGAAACAGGAAGACAGAAGCATAAGGCTATGGGGTGACCCTCCCAAGGTTGCAAAGTGGTTAATATAAAGTTCAAGAGGACCAAGACAGGTCTCTGAGCAAATGCTTCCTTTTTATTGAATTTGGTGGCAAGTTAACTTTGTTTCACACTTTTGTAAAGTGGCTGCTGCCTACCTTTGCTGAGATAATGAGTCTCTGTTCTCTGCCACAAGTATCTCTGTAATTTAGTGGTCTGACTAATAATACATCATGTCTACCCATTTGTCATATTGATAGGAGGAGTGGGTGTTATCTTCAGGAAGAGACATCTAAGGCTACCTTGGAGAAAGGCATTAAGAAGCAGTTTTATAGCTTTCCTAATAAAAGAGGCTTTGGTGGGCCAGGGATTTAGCTCAGCAGCATAGTGGCTGGCTGCCAAGTATGAGGTCCTGAGTTTGATCCTCAGTACAAAAAAACAGAGAGGCTTTGGTGGTTAACATTCATTCTCAAACTGTAGCGCCTTTGCATTGGGTGTTGGAGGAAGACAAAAAGCTGTCTCAAAGCCCTATTTATTCATTTATTTATTTTTGACACTGGGGATTGAACTCAGAGATTTTGTGGTGAGCTACATCTTTGGTCCTTTTTAAATTTATTTTGGAACAGGGTCTCATTCAGTTGCCCAGGCTGGACTTGAACTTGTGATCTTTTTGCCCTAATCTCAAGTGTAGCGAGGATTACAAGTGTACACACTGCCCTCCACCCCATGCTTTCAAAGCCTATATTAAAGAAATCTCCCAACTCCTCAGATAAGATGTGAGAGAAATTTCAGTGCAACTTCTTCCTAATTCAGGTGTTGTAGCTATGACTAATGCTTGTCGAACTTTATGTGACTGTTTTGTTTGTGGGATGTGATTTGACTGCAGTGTATCTAACTTTCTATGATAAAAAAGGTTCAAACATTACCTGCCACTTAAGTAGTGGAATAGATTTCTCACCGTGGAGCACTTATTTGCTGTTGGCATGCTTCAACCTCTCATTCCCATCCTACCCTGGTGGTTTGGTGTCTTTTTTACTTTTGAAAAGAATGTTCTTACAGAAATGATAATTGGGAGCACTTTTATTTTTTCTTATTTATTTAATTCAGTGAACATTTATTGTGCATTTCTCATGTGCAAAGCTGTGTGCTAAGGATCTGCAGATAAGATATAGGGGTTGCAAGAATGAAAAAGACATGATTCTGTCATCCAGGAGATGCACAGATGACATAAGCAAGATTTAAAAACACATTTCCATACAAGTATTAACAGTGTCATTCTTATTTACTCCCTCCCATTAAATTTCCCTTTGTGTTCTGGGATTTCCCTTTTACTTCTGTTTTTAAGTATCTCGAACAAGTTGACAAAAAGTATTCTATATATATATTTCTGTTGTATCTCAGGATGACTTGCTTCATAAGAGTGAGAAGAGATACCCTTGTAGGCTTTACAAATGTTTCATAGAGAAAGTATAGAATTTCATCATTTTTGCTTTTATAAAAAGGAGTTTGGACTTTTATATCTGTGTACTGTGGATCTGTTTTCCTCCCCCTGATTCCGTTGCCCTGAAGCAGATTTTGATGAATGCCTTAGAAATGCTGAATCACTGCCTCTTTCCTGGATCCCTAGATTGGGGGTAGAGGTGGAGAGCAAAGTTCCCAAATATAGGTTGCAAAGCCAACCTCCACATTTGTGTCTGAAGAGGTTTCATAAATACTCAGTGTTGATGAGTCCGCTTACTTAGCAGCCATGAAAGTTAAAATGTTTATTAACTCTTTCAAAATTGGGGAGTTTGAAGGAAGATTGTGCCAAATACCTCTGTACAAACTAGTGTTTCTGAAAAACTTTCATGTTGTCAAAGAATGTTTAGAAATCTTTAATCTCCAGATGGGGTGGTATATAACCAATTGTCCAAACTATGCTACTTTTGAGAGAAGTGGGTATACTTAATAATTATGCTGGGTTAATGGCACATACCAAGAGATTCCAGAGGGATAAGGAATTTATAGACACCTTAGATCTAAGTGACTATGTTTTTTGATTTTTGGTGCTTACTCCAAATTCAGATTTCTTTATAGAAAGTGTTATTTTCTGATGACTTATTATAGTTTTTCTAACTACCTAAGAATTTAATTTACTATCACATAGCAGTATTAGGGCCTGAAATGGAAAATTTAAATTTTGTGTTGTGTAACATTGTGAAATATCTGTTTGGTCTTCATCAGACTTCCTGTCACATAGCTCCTAACACTCATGGAGTCTCTGGAGTGACGAGTGCCTGTCTTCTGTATAATAATGTGATAACTGGTGGCTGGGGTCCTGTGGGTAGTTTCAGGGTGTGATCTGGCCACCAGAATGACCAAGGCATGGTTGAAGGGTTGAGACTTTCACCCTTACCCTGAGAGGGGCTGAAGATGAAGTTGATCCCTATGGCCATTGATGTTACCAGTCATACTCACAAAGTGAAAGTTTTCATAAAAACCCCAAAGGCCTGGGGGCTTTTGCATAGCAGAACATGGCGGTTCCTGGAGTGTGGTCACCTGGAGAGGATGTGGAAGCTGTGTACTCCCTCTCCCATAGTTGGCCCTGTGTCTTTCTTCCATTGGGCTGTCCTTCTGTCTTTTGTGATGTTCTTTAAAATAAATCAGTAATTGAAATGTTTCTCTGAGTTCCAGGAGCTGCTCTTAGCAAATGAATTGACTCTGAGGAGGGGATCATGGGAGCCCTGATTTTTTTTTTTTGGTACCGGGGATTGAACTCGGGTCCTTAGCTTGCGAGGCAGGTGG